GGGGCGGGTGAACAACAGTCGGAGCGAAAGCCGGAGCAAAAGGAGACAGGTGCAGGGCCCCGGACGGCCATGTGCACGACGATGGGGGAGAGCAGCATGGTGTGCCCGGCAGGCGGGAGGGCGGCAAGGGGGAGGAGGAGGAGGAGGAGGAGAGGTACCTGGAGCAGCTCCTGGAGCTTGACGGGGACGTTGGGGGCTTGCGTCATCTTCAGGTGAGCCTGGTGATGCGGCGAGCGGTGCGCAGTGCGGCACAACGGCGAGGAGGCAGGAAGAGATCACAACAGTCAGCGCAAGGGACGACGCGGGGTACCAGCGATGGGGGGGGGTGAAGCGGGGAGGGCTCGTGCGCAAGGAAAGGAGGAGGGGAAGGGAGGGGGATGGTACCGTGGACTTAAGACACGCAAAAGAGACGGACCGGACGTTGGGCTGGCAGCAAGTGGTTTCCCCAAGGGGGACGGGGCGCTGGCCGAAAAAAGGCGCCGTGGCTTGGGGCCGGAGCAAACGGGCTGGAGGGCCGGGGCCCACAGTCAACCGGGTCGAAGAGAGAGAATCCAGGCCCGGGACAACAGACGGGGTCAGGCTGCGCCCCCAGGCCCGGGGGGGGGGGGGACGCGTCTACGCGGGTGTAAATGGCCGGGGGGGGAGTATAGGCGGCTGCCGTTGGGCGTCGTCATCCACGGCTGACACTGTTCCGTGTGCGCCCCCCCCCCCTCCCCCCGCCCGTCCCGCCCGCTCCGCCGGGGCCGGCCCAGGGCATCCCCCCCGCCGAACCACGGCCCTGGCCAGGCCCCGGCCCGGCCGATGGAGGAGCCTTCTTCCCTTTCTTGGTCCGGGGACGAGGGCCGGGCGGCAAGACCGGCCGGTGTACCGAGAGGCCTGTGATGTACTCCGCCGGGAACACGGACGGCCCAGGGAACAGGAACCGGGAACAACATTGCCCGCGGGGGCGGGCCGCCGGGAGGGGGCAGGGCCGGCCCAGCGAGAGGACGACACGTATCCAGGGAACCGCTCCCCCTGGCGGAAGGAACAGCACCTGGGACAAGCGGAACGCCCGTGGACGCGGACGCGGGCGCGTGCACACGGCCAGGGCTCCTCCTGGGCGGCGACCACACACCCGGACCGTGCCCAGGCAGCCCCCCACCCCCTCCGCCCTCCCATGGGCCCACACAAAATGGACCCCCCGCGTCATGGCAAGCGGGGCCCGCGGTAGAGGGCGAGAAAGAGACGGAAGAAAAAGAGCGAGAGGGACAGAGAGCCCTCAGGCAGGGGCGGGGCCAGGGACTTGGCCCCCGCCGGGCGGGGATCCCCTGATGCGGGGGGGGGGGGGGGGGGGGGGCGGGGGGGACATCGGCCTAGGGAAAAGGGTGCCCACCGCCCGTCAACAGCCCCAACTCCCCGGACGGACAACCCCCACCCCCCCGCGCAAGAAGTGTGCCTCACGCATGCCCAAGGGCCCGGCGGACGACCGGCCGCCCGCCGGCCTACCGGTCTGGGCCAAGGAATTTCCTCGCCCGCCCCGGGCACCTCCTGGGAGCTGGAATGCTTTCCCTGACAAAGAACCAGGCGTTCACCTTGTCCCGGGCCCGGGCCCCGGGCGCCTCCCCCCGCCCCCCCCCCCGCCCCCGCCCCCGCCCCCCCGCCCCGCCCCGACGAGAACGTGCCAAGAGAGAGCGGCCTCTGGGTCCGGAGGCCGGACCACCACGAACTAATTCAACAGACGTGGTAGGGACGCCCCCGGCCGGTCCCACTCCCGCTCCCGCCTCGGGCAGTTCAAAAGAGCCCATTCTGAAGGACCACCAGAAAGCCTGCTGGAGCGCGTCCGCGGCTTCCAGACCGGCCAGGCCTGGCAGGCGGCCCCCCCCCTCCCCCCCCGCCCGGAGGAGGGGGAGCGCGCTGGGCGCCATCCGAGAAGACCATGGTCCGGGTGCCCCCCTGCTTGAGTTCCGGAACTCCACCCTAAAAGCAGCAACGCCGGGGGAGAGGGCGCCGTGGCGTTTCTCCTCTGTAGAAAAAAAAGAAAAAACAGGCGGCCGTCATGTCTTCCTTGCGGCCTTCCAGGAGTGCGCAATTTTCCGGAAACAATACCACACGACGCACCCTTCCCCGGCCCCCAGGGGCCTTGGAGGAGCGACGGGGGCGAGCCGGAGGCGCTGGCGGCACACACCCACCGGCCCCAGCCCCCCCCCCCCGGCTGACCCCTTTCCCCAGCCCGATTGGAGACTAGTTGGCTGCCCCCCGCCGTGTCAGCCTTTCCCCGGTCACCGGCGGACGAGGGCACGGCAGAGAGTTCCGGGAGATGCTCCCCCCCCCCCCTGCGCGCCCCCCACAGGCAAACATGCCGAAATGACACCTCCACCCGGTGGCCGATACTCGACTGTGAAAGACCGCCCCCGGCCGGTGGAAGCTGCCCGCCCTGTGGTCGCTGCCGGCTCACGCCCAGCAAATTGGGCTCACATGCCCCCCCCCCCCCCCCCCCCCTCCGCCCTCATCCAGGTACCCTGTTGCCCACACTCACACGCAGCTTCGAGAGAGGCGGCGCCGGCACGCCCGGGAGACAGAAACACGCCAAGGAGGGGGGGGGCGTCCCAGCACCTTCCTCCGCGCCTGGGAGGGAAAAAGAAAGGACACGCACTGGCGATGACTGGGCGGGATGGTGGTCACGTGTAATGTATGTATTCATGTGCATAGCCGGTCACATGGCGTTGCCGCCCGCCGGCCTTTCTACAACTATTCTAAATTGGCCAGCGCCGGGCGGCGAGAGTGTGTGCGCCAAAAGAAGGAGGGACAGCAACAGCGAGAGGAGAGGGTAGAGAGTGGCTCTGGGAGGAAGAGGAGGCATTCATCGGCGTCTGGCAACACCCCTCCTCTCTACCTCTTCCCCCCCCCCCCCCCACCGCTCCTGGAGGTGTGCACGCACCATTTGGCATGCACATTCACCCGGTGGCGGAGAGGGGCGAAGGAGAGAGAGAGAGAGAGAGGGAGAGAGGGAGAGAAAGAAAGAGAAGGGACACATCTCTTGCAGGCATGTCTCTCTCGGTGTGTGCAAAGGTCGAAGGGCTGGAGGGCCAATCATGACCCCCGGGATTGCTTCCTCTCTGTGGATATGCGCGCGCGCGCGCATACTCCTCCCCTCCGCCCTCTTCTCACGCGGCCCCGTGTGCCAACCACGAGGCACTGGGCCACCAACGGCTGACAAAGGGCGAGAGACAGAGAACAGAGACAAGGGAGAGCAGTGGCCACGCCCTTACATGTCGGAGAAGCCCATGCCCTCGGCCTCCTCCGGACGCAGGTAGGCAATGTCATCCCACGGGTGGCGGTACAGGCCCTGGCGCAGGCGGCGCTGGTCGATGAAGTGACCGATGAAGCCCACCGAGCGGCCGAGCACAAAGAGGCCATTGAGAATCCCAAGCTGGATGTACTCCTCGGCCTCCTCGGCCGTGAAGAGCCCGGAGTACCGGAGCAGATCGACGAAGCACACGGCAATGGCACCATCCACATTGAGGATGAGGTTGTCCTTCTTGGCCGTGGTGACCTTCTCCACCTCCAGGGCATAGTCCATGACCCGGGTCGAGGGGAAGTGCTGGCGCGCATAGTCGCAAACAATCTGCACACGCTGGTCGGGGTTGGTGCGGCTCTTGATCCGATGGCCAATGCCATGGATGAGCTGCTTCTTCCGACGCATGGAGTCCACGAACTCGTGCGGGTGCAGGGCCTGGTCATAGGCCGCCGAGAATTGGGCCGCCGCGCCGTCAAGCGCACCGCCAAAGCGGTCGCCAATGGTCAGCAGACCACTCACCAGCGCCGAGATCAGGTCCTTCCCGGCACGCGTGGTGACAATGGTGTTGTGGGCACCGGCCACGGCGGGGCCATGGTCGGCAGTCAGCATGAGCACCATCTCGATGAAACGGCCGGCATACTCCGGCAGACGGCGGCGGAACCACAACAGGCCCAGCACACCACCAATGCCGATGTCATTGCGGAAGACATCGCTGATGGTCATGCCAGAGTAAAGCTGCAGTCGGAGCGAGGGAGGGGGTGTGGGGGGGGGAGAGAGCCGGGAAGCGGAAGGAGGAAAAGCATGTCAGGACATCATCAGGAGACAGAGAGGGAGAGAGAGAGAGAGAGAGAGGGAGAGAGAGAGGAAGAAAGGGTGGGAAACAAACGTGGCGTCACCAACGGGAAGGGGGAAGAGACGGCACACGTACAAGCTCTTGCCCACGGTCATCGACGATGGTGGTGACAAAGTTGGCCGGCTTACGGATGAGACCCAGCTCCTGGGCCCAGTGGTAGTCGATCGGCATGCGCGGGGCCTCCGGCTCCGGGGTCTCCTTCGGCGGGATGACGCCCTCGGCGACCAGCTGGTTGAAGACGGTCTCCAGCATGTCGGGGAACTCCTCGAAGGAGTTGGGCACATGGCACCCGGCGTTGCGGAGGATCTGGTTCTTGGCCAGGGCAGTCTCCTCGCGACCGCCGGCCATGGCACCGGCATGGCCGAACTGGACCTCAGCACCACCGGCGCTGGCGGCCAGCGCATCCGCACAGGTACCGATGCACCAGGCCACCATGGGCTTGGTCACCCGGCCCGAGGCGATGGCCTTGGCGACGGCGATCTCCTCGCGCCCACCAACCTCGCCCAACAGAACCAGCATCTTGCAGGCCGGGTCATCCTCCAGGCGCAGGATGTGATCCAGGAAGGTGGTGGCCGGATAGCGGTCGCCACCGACAGCCACACCGGAATACACACCGTCCGTGTGCCGGGACAGCAGACGGTTCAGCTCGTTGGACATGCCGCCCGACTTGGACACGTAGCCCACCGACCCGGGACGGTAGAGCTTGGCATCGATCAGGTTGTCCACCATGCCGCCGGTGTTGCCGATCTTGAAGGCCCCAGGCTGAACACCACCCACGGTGGCCGGGCCGATGAGGGTCACGCCGAGCGCGCGCGACCGGCGAATCAGGGACTTGGTGTGGCGCTCCGGCACACCCTCGGCAATGATGGCAATCGACCGGAGCCCGGGGATGTGAGCCATCAGGTCGCAGGTGGCCTCGTAGGCCGACCGGCAACTGGCGAAGTTGACCACGGTGTCGGCCTCCGGGTGGCGGGCAGCCGCATCGGCGATATCCGTGTACACGGGCACCATGATCTCACGAGTGCCCCAGTAGAACTTCTGAACGTGACGCCCACCGGCGAAGGGGTAGATGATACCGGCCACGGAGGCGGTCTTGCGCTTGCACATATAGTCGAAGTCCAGCATGCCCTATGGAAGGGAATCGGCGAGGGAGGGGGGGGGGGAGCACGCGATGCACGCACGTGCGCGTGGCGATGCAGACATGTGAAGAAACACGAGGGAGATAGCCCGAGGCCAGGGCGAACCAGCAACCCGGAACACGATGAGCAGCAGAAGAAGGACAACAAAAGGACAGCCTGTGAGTAAGGAGAAAGCGCGGCACACACATGGGCCTCGCCCATGCGCCGGCATGTGGGGAAAAGGAAACCCGCCATGTGTGTGTGTGTATGCGTAGAGGGAGGGGGGGGGGCATGACCAAGCGCGAGGGAGTTGTACTTACCTGAACAGCGCGCGGCTGCATGCCATAGATGAAAGCACGGGTCTTGCGGTCAAGAAGGGCACGCGAGACCGAGGCCAGGCTGACCGGCGAGCCGGCACGCGAGTCCTCCTCGGAGTCGTTGTCGGTCGAGGACACCGCCGCATCGCGCGGAAGCGGGATGCTGGGAGAGGGGTCAACGCTGTGACCCAATACCATGGCACACGGTGGAGGTCAGCCAATGCGGGAGAAAAAAGGAAAGAACATGGCACATGGATGCGGGGGGGGGGGGGGGGGGGGGGGGGGGGGCGGGGGGGGGGGGGGGGGGGGGGGGGGGGGGGGGGGGGGGCGCGAGTGTGTCGGCCTCTCCACTCTATCTCCTCCGCTCGTCGCCGCGGCATGGCAAGGGGGGGGGGGAGCCCGAACAGCGATCGGCATACCTGCTGGGAGCGTTGTCGGAGGCCGAAGGGCGGCCATACTTGGAGGCGGACTTGACCGCAGCCGCACGGGCGGCTGAGGTGACGGTGGTCTCGATCTCATCCTCATCGCTGAACTCGTTGCCAACCTTCGAGTCGTTGCGAGTCAGGGCGGCCATCGAGGGCGACAGGGGGATGTCATCGTCGCCAGCAGTGCAGGCAGGAGCAGCACGCCCATCGATGAAGCCGGCATCAACCAGAGAGTACTTGACTGCGAGAGGGAGAGGGAGAGAGAGAGAGAGAGGAGGCGGAAAGGAGGCGGAGAGCGCGGCCAGGCAGGGGGCCGTTCAGGGAAGCAGGCAGGTCAGTTACGGGGGCGTGGGGGGAAAGGCAATCAGCAGGCCGGGGCCACTCTGGCCGGGCGCGGCATAGACTGAGCTGCGAGGCGCCGAAGCGCGTACACGCGCGCGCGCGCGCACGCGCACGCACCGATCTGGGTGATGAAGCTGTCCGGGCCGTAGACGCGGATCTTGATGCCGATCTCCGAGCCAAGCTGGCGCATGTGGCGCAGACCCTCCTGGTAGTTGGGGCCACCACGGCGGACCCAAATCCGAGCGTTGACACGCTTCAGGGCCGGGGCCGCATCGCGCAGGGCCCGGGCAATGCCGCGGAAGGTGGCCGCGACATTGGTGAAGTTGGCGATGCCACCACCGATGAGCAGCACACGCGGCGGCAGGTCGGTCTTGGCCTCATCCTCCGGGTGGATGGTGGTCATCAGGCGCAGGACGGTGCGAGTGTACTCGAAGGTCTGGGACTCGGTCGGGGCGCCGGAGTACTCGCCGTAGTTGGCCAGCTCGCGCCCGGCCACCTCGGCGCCGAGGGCCGCGGTCACGGCATCGGCATAGACCACCGAGGCACCGCCACCAGCCACCAGGGTCCACACACGGCCGCGCGGCTGCAAGACCGTCAGCTTGAGAGAGGCACCGGTCTTGGCATCGAGCTCGGCGATGTAGCGCTCGGCGTCGGACATCGGCCGGCCCAGGGGAGCCGGGAAGTCCGGCATCCGCCGGCGCAGGCGCTGGGCCTGCTCCGGGGCACCGGGCGCCGCGGCATTCGGGGCCGCACGCGTGCCGGACCCCAGCTCATCGCTGGCCGGCACCACGGCCGAGCTGAGCTCCCAAAGCCGGGCACACTCGAATTCGGCGGTGGTGTCCAGCTTGGCGGCCAGATCCAGGATGTAAACCTTCCCCTGGCAGAAGACCAGCGGGTTGATCTCCAGATAGGTGAAGTGCAGGCGGGTGTACACCCGGTGCAGGTCGACGATGAAGGCGGCCAGCGCGGCGCGGCGGTCATCCTGCAGGTCGGGGCACTGCTCCGGGCTGAGCAGGTGCTTCAGCAGGTGCTCGGTGGTCAGGGCCGAGTCGCCATGCCAGTCGGACTCGGTCGGGTGGTACCACTCATTGTCATCGTCCCAGCCGAGATCGGCGGCGGAGGCGGAGGAATCCCCGGCGCCGGCGGCGCTCGAGGCACTCCCACGCCAGGCAGTGGTGGGGTTACGCCCGTCGAAGGAATCGATCGGCGCGCGCACCAGCAGCCGGGAAGCGGTGGCATCCACATCGCCGACATCGATGCCGCCACGAGCACTGAAGAGGATCTCATCGCCATGGCGCACGGAACGGATGCACACGTAGTGCTCCTCGGTCTTGGAGTCGTGGGGGATGAAGGGCTCCACCAGCAGGTGGTGCAGGCGAGCCGGGATGGTCTTGGCATCCTCGGCCGGGGGGGCGCAGTCGTCATCCTCGTCGCCATCGTGCCCGGTGGTCGGCAGGTGGACCTCGCGGCGGATGCGGTCCGTGGCCCAGGCCGAGGCGGCGTCCCAGTCGGCGTTCAGCAGCAGCAGACCCAGCTTGCCGCGGCGCTTGATCAGCTCATCGGGCTTAACCACGAGGCGGGTGTCGCCCTGGAGCCAAGGGTGGTCCAGGGGCGAGGGGAGGACAACGGTGTCCTCCTCGCCGGCCACCGGCGAGGGGGTGGCCAGGACCTGCGCCACACGCACCGGGGCCAGGTTGTACCCGGTGCCGGTGAGGTGCTGGGCGAGCAGCAGCTTACCGTCGTGCTCACGAATGGCCTTTGAAGACATGGTCGGAGGTGCCTGTGGGGGGGCGGGGGGG